GTAAAATGTTTGAGAAACAATTAAAATTTGCAGAAATTGCTCAAAAATGACTTCACATGTCTGACATGTACACCGACCATCATTTTTGTGTATCCATTTACATTCTTTAATATTTGCGTCCTGTCATCAGATTGGCTGGCAGGATCCCTCATATTGCTGCGACCCAACAGCCAGTTAATTAGAGCAGGCATTCAGCCACCCTGGCTTCATTTGACTATCAGCCACCGAGCCACTTACTCCACAATTTCCTGTCTGAATTGGAAGGTTTTACTATCGCTAAAAAAGCCCGGAAGTTTTCCTTTATCTCCTCTGCACCTGAGCTGAGCACCCCCAGCACCAGAATGCATGTACATTATGATTACAGGCTGAAGCATAGAGGAGCTTCAAACCCACAACAACTAAAAGCTGGAACGTCTCTGCAGCCGTGCACCTGCTTGTGTGTGCATTTCCTACTTATGATTAGAAATCCCAAATGCACGCGTGCACGTGTGCGCACCCTTGTTTAAGTGTGCATAATCGCTGCCGTCCACTTTGTCGTGCCGGCTTTTAACTTTTTTACGGTTTTCTCTTCATTAATTGAAAACATGACGGGGTGCTCTCGGGGGCCTGATGGATGGAGCGGGAGAATTGAGAAAGCCATTAGCTCCGGTGAAATCACAGCCTGTCAAGGAGTCAATACACACTGCTTTATGTGTCTGCAAGCAAAGATGGAACAATTATCCCTTTTATTAGGCGGTCACGACACACACACACGCACCCACATACACACTCGAAACACGAAGGCAGCAATAACGATCGGCTAAAATCAGTCATTCATTACTGTCAAGAGCACCTGACTCTCAGCTTATTAAAAACTGGCTTCATGTGAGGACGGAGAACAAAAAACTTAATTAGTAAACAATTGTGATTAGTAGCCTCTGGAATAAATAGGCTTTTTCTGATTTTGACTTATGGATACATGGAAATTAAATTAGAAGTAAATGTGTTTAATTTGCTCCAGCAAAAAGAAAAACTTCGAAAATTCATCAGTTTCTTCAAGTTTACTAAAATCGAGAGAAAAAACTGCTTCTGCACAATGGTTCTCGCTTTTTTCTTGTTGTTAATGAGTATTAATGCAAGATAAATATGCAAGCACTTGATGGTGGAGGAGCTGTGAATCATACGAGCAGATTCCCAGAGAGTCTCGGGCCTCTCAACCCTTTGTTGGGGGTCATGACCCCTCACTGAGTGCTGCTGAGCTGCAGGAGGTCATAGGTGGTTTAGTTATAACAGGACACCAAAGGCTGTCTGAGAAGAGGTGATGGTGGCTACGGGTACAGGAGCAACAGGAGGGAGCAGAAAGAACTTCTCTCAAGAGAAAACTTTATTGTTCTTAAAGGAAATAAGAAAAAATTAGTCTGACTTTTCAAAGGTTCTTGTTACAATATAGATATTGTCTCTGTGTTTTGAGATGTTGGAAAAGATTTTGTTTGTGTGTTTGATGTGCAACGATAAAAAAGGGATAAAAAATGTAAATATTTCCCCCCCATCACCTCTTTTCTGTATAAGCAGTGGGGCACTTTACATAAGATTTATGACATCCAAGCAGAAATATTATCGTGTGCGGGTGCCATTCATCACCGGGGCCGTGAGAGAGACGCTGCGAATGATACCACCAAATTATGTAGATCAGCCATGTCTCAGGGGGCGATTCAATTCGGTAACCTTGGTAACCCCCAGGTGCTCTGAACACACCAGACTCTCTGTTGCACACCCACTTTTTGGCGCGTCACTTAGCAAGTAGCAGCCGCGCACATGTTAATGTGGTGTCCGTGCTCATTTTATTTTATTTTACTGAAACGTGAAACCCGTAGTCTACATTTTTAACTCTTCTTTTCATTGAACTTAACCTTGAACTCCAGGTCCAGAGGTTTCTTACTGCTTTTAGCAGTTTCCTTCCATGAGAGAGAATAAAAAGCAACAACAGTTACATGTAATGAATGCAGTTTCTACATTTTATTGATCCAAACTGCCCACATATCTAAATATTTGCTGTATATTTATATTATCATAGTAAAGAATAATTCTCTGGGGTAGAAATGTTCACACTGCTTAAGAATAACACAACTTGCCGTGAGCTCATGTAGGTGTATCATAATTAACAATAATCTCTGAGAGCCTTCAGAATCAGCCCCCCCCCACACACACACACACACACACACACTCACGGCCGTTTACCCAGCACCGAGCTGACTCAATTATGATGCAAAGGGGTGTTTTTTGAAAAGCCTGGCTCATTTCTAATTAAGCCACACACTCATACCTATTTGTAGCTCATGTCCTGACATAATGCAAATGCTATGTAAATTAACTGCACTGATCTCCCTCTAGCTGCACGCTCGGAGCTCCTCGGGAGACCAGCGGGGCATTTAGTCATATTTTAGACTAGTTTAGTTTCTCATTGGGTGAAACAGGGGCAGAGCCAGACGTGTTGATGGTTCACCAGGAAACAGACAGCACAGGAGTCTGAAAATCGTTTGTGTGATTGTTTTACATCTCTAGCTTCCCCCTCCAATCCCCCTCCCTCTTTTTCCTCTCAGCTTCTCAACGTATCGATCGATAAGCAGAGCTGCTTGAGTATTCCCTCCTGTTCTTTCGTTTGGTAGATGCCTTCACACGCCCTACCTGCAGCCTGCAGAGCGACTGAGGCCTAAACCCCCACCCTTCTGCAGCCACCGCCCCCCAGCTGAGACTGTTTAGAAAGGCCATTACCGCGCTCACTCTGCTGTCACTAAACAAGCACACAATGGCTGGTTAGGCAGCTGACTGACCATAACGGAAGGGTTATGGCCCTTGTGTTGGAGGATGTGTTGGGCTGTGGCGCTGATACGCAGCCTAGAATAATTACAGACTGGTGGGTTTGGTGACACAGCTGGGAGCCTGCCAGATCCTCATTGTGCAGATCGTTTGTCAAAAAGATGCTTTTGGTTTATAATAGAAGCTCATAGCTTTGTTAAAGATCTTTTGTTCGTTCATTCTGTGTGTTTCATCTAACTCCATTACTTGGGTCTCTTTTAACACGGCTAAAAAGTTGTTTTTACCATGCTTTTGCTGACGTCTTGACTAACACTGTAGTCTTCCTCAGAGCTTTGCCGCTGTTGGTGGCGTCACTTCCTTCTTTGTTTATCATTGAGCAGCAGAGGACGATGTCGCCCTTTGATGCCCGCGCTCACCTCGTCGATGACACAGTCCCATGCCTGATCTAATGTGTAGACCCCATCGTCTCTGTTCATGGCTGTGTGTCCAAGTGTCCTTATTTCTATGGCTTCCATATTTTGCATTTTTGTTGTGCTTCCAGCACTTTTCCTGCATGTTGTAGATCATGAACACAGCTTATTTGTTTGATTTACTGATGAACCACTCCTCTAGACACTAATGAAAGCTGAGGAGACAGTTCAGCAGTTAGATGAAGTTGTTTAAAACATGAGACCACAGCTAGTAGATATGTTTCTTTTTCAGTACAACAGCAGTGAATTAATAATGGACACTAGGGGGTGCTAAAAGCAAGTAAAACTTGGCTAGTATCCCTTTAATCTGTCATTTCTCCTGGTAAAATTTGATTAAAATGGTTGTTTTGAGATTGTGCAAAAATTTAATTGATAAAGGTTTTTTTTAAAAGATAAGTCGTTCTGGGAAAGTTCAAAATACAAACTAAGCAGATTTTAACAGATTATATTTCACACATAATCTACTTCTTGCACATAATGGGATTTAAATTAAACTGGAATATTTTGGGGCAAATCTGCAGTTTTTGGTATTGGTGAGCATGTGTCCGTTGTATTAATTTTATTCATTTATAGCAGGACTTCCCTTCAGCATAGTGGAATAAATAAAAATTAAATGCTCTTATTGGATTTAGTGTTCAGAGGGTCAGAGGTAAAAAAAATTAGCATAAATCTTCAATAAGATCATTCATTCTTCTGCAAACTACTTTTTTATATAAATTAGTAGTGAAAGCAGAAATTTCAGGCCTGAGTTTAGGCAGTTTTTGAGATCATTTTAAATGTTTGATCATCCATCGCCTGCAAATTCCAATTTAAACTTTGCAAGATAAAAAAGCGAACGGTGATACAACAATGGAAATGATTACAGTTAATCTGTCCAGGTCTAGACTTTGCTCTCTCTTGACTCATCTGTGCCATCAGTCATTCCTTTGTATCTTTGTCTTCCTCTCTCTAGCTCCACATCTCAGCCCTATTAATTGTGCCCGAACAGTGCCACATGCCTCAATGAAAATAAATTGCTTTTAATTTGGGCTTCCCTTTCTTTTC